AGAATCTAAACATCATATTTCAAGAAACCATAAAGGAACACTGCCCTGATATCCTAGAACCAGAGGTAAAATAGAAATTGAACTACTCTATTGATCACCACCTGCAAGAGATCCCAAAATGAAAATTCCCAGAAATATTATGGCCAAATTCCAAAGATCCCAGGTCAAGGAGAAAATATTATAAGCAACCAGAAACAAACCATTCAAATTCCAAGGAGCCACAGTTTGGATCACACAAGATTTAGCAGCTTCTATGTGAAAAGAATGAAAGGTCTGGAATACGATATATCAGAAGACAAAGGAGCTAGGATTACAACCAAGAATAACCTACCCAGCAAAACTATGTATAATTCTACAAGGGAAAAAGTAGACATTTAATGAAATAGAGGACTTTCAAGCATTCCTGGTTAAAAAAAAAAAAAGACCAGAGCTGAATAGAAAATTTGATATTCAAACACAAGACTCAAGAGAAGCATAAAAAAATGCAGAGTATTGTGCAAAGTGCCCAGTAGTTCAGTATTCAAGTGAGGAGGGAGGTTGCTGCTTCCCCAAGATCACCATATTCTTGGATTTTGCAGAGCCTTTTGAATGACATCTATAGGTATTTTCTTCTCTCTGCTGAGAGCTCTGGTTCTGTGGGTCTTTATGAAGTTCCAAGACATTCCATAGTTAAAGCCAAAAATTAGATCTCAGCCATACTTTCCTCATCTCTTTTGCTTTCTGTTTTCTTTGCTTGATGCTCTTCATAGACTTGTCTTAAAATAGCCATCTGCCTCCTCCAACAAACAATATTTGGAGTTGTGTTCACTGTGGCTGTTTTTTTCACTTTAGCAAAAACCATCATAGAGTTCTGGTCTTTAGGTTACGAATCCAGGGAGCAGGAGCAGGATGTGGGTTCATCTTAGAGAATCCAACTATATAGTTTTCATTTGCTCTGCAACCCAAATGATTTTCTGTAGCATTTGTCTAGAAACCTCTTCACCATTCCCAGAGGCAGACACATTCTCTGAACATGGCTACATTATCATTGGATGTAACAAGGGCTCTGTCATTTTCTTTTATTGTATCCTGGTGTATATAAGCTTCTTAACTCTGAGAAACTTCACTGTGACTTTTCTGGCCAGGGGCCCGCCTGACATCTTCAATAAAGCGAAGTACATCACCGTCAGCATCCTGGTGTTACATAGTGTATGGATCTCCTTTCTTCCCATATACCACTGTAGCAAAGGGAAGGCAATGGTGACTGTAGAAATCTGCTTCATCTTGATCTCTACTGCTGGGTTACTGAACTATACACCTTTATCGCTAAATGCTATGTAATTCTTCTGAGGCCAGACAGGAATACACAGGAAAGGATAAAGAATAAAGTGGAATTTAGGGGCAGGAATCATTCTAAGGCACTGCCTCTTGATTTCTGCTAGAGGCATAAGAGGCTTGAAAAAAAATACATCATCCTGGCATAGGCTCTTTTGGGCACCTAAAAGATGGTTACTGATATAAGAAACTGATCAGAATTAGCTGTCTGTATGCTGTCAGATCACCACCAGCTAGAACAAAAAGAAAAATATGGCCTACCTATGATAAAAAAACAAACTATAGACTAATTTCCCTAATGACTATTGATGCAAAATTTTTAAATAAAATACTAGCAAGTAGATTCCAGCAACATATCATAAAGTTCATATGCTATGACCAGGCTGAATTTATAGCAGGAATGCAAGGTTGGTTTAATATTAGGAAAACTATAAACATAATTGCCCATATTAATAACAAAAAAAATATGATTATTTAAATAGATGCAGAAAAAGCTTTTGACAACATGCAACACTCATTCCTATTAAAAACACTAGAAGGCACAGGAATAAATGGAGCTTTTCTGAAAATAAATCATATCTATTTAAACCAAGAGCAAACATTATCTATAATGGGTATAAACACTAAGTTTTTCCAGTAAGATCTGAAGTAAAGCAAGGATGCTAACCATTATTACTCAATATTATATTAGAAATGTGACTTATACCAATAAGACAAGAAAAAGAATTTGAAGGAAAAAGCACAGGCAATAAGGAAATAAAACTATCACTTTGTGCAGATGACATGATGATATACTTAAAGAATCTGAGTCAACTAAAAAACTAGTTGAAACAATTAACAACTTTAGCAAAGCAACAGGGTATAAAATAAATCTATACAAATTGTTAGTATTTTTATATATTACCCACAAAACCAAGCAGGAAGAGATAGTGAACTTTGATTCAAAATAATTGCAGACAGTATAAAATACTTGGGACTCTACTTGCCAAGAAACACACAGGAACTATATGAATACAAGTATAAAATACTCTTCACACAAATAAAAACAAATCTAAACAATTTGAGAAATATTAATTGCTCATCAATAGACCAACCTAATATAATAAAAATGACAATATTACCTAGATTAATTTACTTATTCAGGGTTATGCCACTCAAACTACCAAAGATTATTTTATAGATCTTGGAAAAACAATAACAAAATACATCTGGAGGAATTAGAGTTCAAGAATATCAAGAAAATCAATTTTTAAAAAGTAAAGGAAAGTGGGACAGCTAGGTGGCACAGTGGATAGAGCACTGGCCCTGGAGTCAGGAGGACCTGAGTTCAAATCTGGCCTCAGACACATAACACTTACTAGCTATGTGACCCTGGACAAGTCACTTAACCCCATCCCCATTACCTAGCAAAAAAAAGGAAGGTAGCCTTGCAGTACCAGATTTCAAACTATACTGCAAAGTGGTGATAATCAAAACGAGCTGGCACTGGATAAGAAATAGAGTGGTTGATCAATGGAATAGATTAGGCCACAATATACAAACATAATGACCACAGTGACCTAGTGTTTGATAAAACCCAAAGATTCAAGCTACTGGGGCAAGAATTCACTATTTGACAAAAAATTCTGGAAAACTGGAAAACATATTGGCAGAAACTAGGCATACACCAACATCTTACACTGTATACCAAGATGAGTTCAAAATGGGTACATGATATACACATATGGGATGTTACTAGAAGCATATTCAGGGAACATGGAAGAAATTGCCTGTCAGATCTACGGAGAAGGAAAGAGTTCATGACCGAATAAGAGATAGGGAGGTTCACAGGAAGCAAAATGGATTTTGATTACAGAAATTTAGAAAGGTTTTGTAACAAAACCATTGCAGCTAAAATTAGAAGAGCAAGAAACTGGAAGAAAAATTTTGCTGCAAGTTTCTCTGATAAAGGTTTCATTTCTCAAATATATAGAAAGCCTAGTTCAATTTATAAAAACAGGCACCATTCTTCAATTAATAAATGGTCAAAGGATGAAAACAGGCAGTTTTCAAAAGAAGAGATCAAAGCTTTCAGTAGTCATATGAAATATGCTCTAAATAATTAATAATTAGAGAAATGCAAATTAAAAGAACTCTGAGGTACCACCTCACACTCATACTGGCTATGACAGAAAAGGAAAATAACAAATTCTAACAGGGATGTGTGAAAATAGGTACATTAATGCATCGTTGGTAGAGCTGTGAACTAGGCCAACCATTCTAGAGAACACTGTGCCATCCTAAGACCCTTTGGCACAACAATACCACTACGAGGTCTATACCTCAAGGAAATCAAAGGGAAAAAAAGGACCTATATGTACAAAGATATTTATAGCTCTTTTCATGGTGGCAAAGAACTGGAAACTGAGTGGATGCCCATTCATTGGGGAATGGCTGAACAAGTTATGGTATATGAGTGTAATGGAATGCTACTGTGTTATAAGAAATGATGAAGAGGATGGTTTCAGAAAAACCTGGTTAGACTTATATGAACTATTGCAAAGTGAAGTGAGCAGACTCAGGAGAAAATTTATATAATAATAGAAATATTGTGAAATATAATCAACTGTGAAAGACTTAGTGACTGATCAATAAAATGATTCACCACAACTCCAAAGGACTCGTTATATAAAATACTATCCATTTCCATTTAGAGAACTGATGGACTCAAAGTGAAGATTGAAGCACTTTTTTCTATTTTTCATGCTTTTTTTGTTTTTGTTTTTGGAATATGGCTAATGCAGAAATATATTTTGCCTAACTTCAGAGTATAATGGGTATTGTGTTTCTTGCCTTCTCAATGGGTGTGGGAGAGGGTAAAGGAAGGAAGAAAATTTGGATGTGAAAATAAAAATAAAATAAATGTTACTACTTAAGCCTCTACTGAACACCAGCATTCTTGTGGTATTTCACTCATATTTACAGATCAAAGCTGTCATGTGAGACTATTTCTTCAAAAGTTAGTGGATGATTCAAACAAGAGATTCCATCGGGATTACTCACAGTATTCTATTAAGAATAAGATTGTTAAAATTTGATCAGGGGGAAGTATCACCTAAATCTATTCAATATAATCTTATATATTTGTTTTACTTTAAAACAATAACAACAAAATAACCAGATCCTAACCTCATATATATCTATAATACAGTATTTCCTGGGGACTGATATCTCCCTGTCATACCTGCCCTGTCTATCCATTCCACCCACCTCCATCCTTGACCCCCCTTCCCCAGGTCACTTCAGCTTGTTGTGCTTAAGTAGGTCATATGTCCTCCTGGAGAGCTCAGAATCATATGGTATAGGACCGCATACAACAAGACGTCATTTTTCCCCCCACCCCTTAGCACATGCATGGAAACAGAAGCAATAATAATCCAGGCCAAAATTATCCTAAAAAACTCCAGTATTAGCCAAGTGTTCTGTGGTAAGTACATCTTCCTTCCTTCTGATGAAGCTATTAAGGCATCTTCTCCATTTTCTCATGAGAAGCACATTTTGGCTGTGAAAATAACACGGCTGCAGAAGCAAGATATTTTATTAGTAAAGCCTCCATCATGAATTCTTATTCCAAACATGTTACAAGAGAATGAATGGAGACTGTTGGAAAAACAAAATGGGGAAGTTTTTAAAACATTCTTGATTACCTTCATTTTCAAGGGTGCTAAAAGGCCTTTCATTCTGAAGGAGGGCTCGTTTCAGCTCTTCTAATTCCGCATGTTCTTTGGCATACATTCGCTTCAAGTTTTCAACATGCTGAATCATTACTTCCACTGCTTTACTGACTCGGCTTTCCTGATAGGGGAAAAATATATTTAAAAAAAATAGTTCCTTTTTGTGAGGCTAAATAGGGGAGGAGACAATGCAAGAAGTCAAAATGAAAAAACAAAAAAACTACTACTCATTTCTCATTTAAGTCTATGTTAAATATCAATACAAAAATATCAATAATTAGATCCTAATTAAATAACATTTTGTACTCCTAAAGCACTTTCTTCACAACTCTGAGGTAGGCAGTGGATACATTATCTCCATTAATTAAATGAAAGCTAACTTAAATTAAAGCTAGGAGCCTTGTCCAGGGTCCCAGGGTTAGTAAGTAGTAGAACAGAGATTTCTACCCAAGCTTTCTAATTTTAGCCTTCAGAAACTTTATCTGATATCCTCAACCACAAAAAGAATTATTAAATATAAGGTGGCCCAAAAGTCTTAGTGTAGTTTTAAAGCTTAAAATTGCTCTAAGACTTTTAGGCTACCCTGTATTATAAGTAGGAGGGCCCTTAGAAGTCACCAGATCCAATCCCCTCTTTTCAGAGATGAAGGAATTGAATCCTAGAGCTGAAGAGACTTCCCCAAAGTAAACAAGCAAACAAAAACAAAACAAAAAACCAACTAGTAAATAGAGGAGCCAGGCCTCAAACACAGATCTTCAGCCTCAACTTCCAATGTTCTTTGATCAAGAGTTTTGGAGACTTTTTGATATTTTACCTTCTATGCCATTCTTCCCCCACCCCCTCCATATTATGGTTCTTTTCTGAGAGGTTGAACAAGGAAACAGGCTATCCAGACATCAGGCAAAAGGAGGAAACCAAAGTTAATATTTAATTGCTTCTTTCCCCCTTTGGTATATTTTGAAGAATTCTATCATGAAGTCTAAGTTACCAGAAATAAGCATGCAGAGCCTAGTACCTGGGGCAATAAATTTTGGCTCCAATTGGGTACTTACTTGCTATTTTACTTACATACTTACTTTACTTACTTAATGGAGCAATAAATTTTGGTTCCAATTGGGTACTTACTTGCTATTTTACTTACTTAAGAAAAAAAAAGGGAACAAAACTTTTCCCATTCAGTAAACTTGTTTCCTCCCATGCTATATCCTTCTAACTTCTACTTTCATGACCCAATTTCTATGCTAAGTTCTAGCCTCTTCTTACTGTTATCTCCTCCTGTACTCATCCCTAGTCTGCCCTTCTACTGGTCCTTTGTTTCCCATAGGCACAATTTTTCATCTTGTATATCTGTATTCTTTCAACAAACACTAAAATAAAAACAATCTGTATTATGAATTCCATATTTATAATTAATATATTCTATATTCAGAGATAGAATGAAAATACTGGATAGAGACCTATTCTTGGAACCAGGAAGACCTGGGATCAAGTCCTTCCTCTGATACGTAGTAATCTTTTGACCTTTAACTTCAGTACCCTGGACAACTGTCTAAGACCATAAGTTACAGAAAAGGTGCTGAACTGCAGTGGCAATTTCCCCTACCAATTAAAACATAGGTCCATTCTCTATTCCTATTCCATATTTAACTTAACTCAATTCAACAAACATTTATTATAAATTTACTATGCGCAAGGTACTGGGGATACACAGATTAAAAAAAAAAAGTCCCTGACCTCAAGAAACTTAACCTGTACTGGGAGGGTATAACATGGACAAAGATGTGTTAAATACAAGGTAATTTAAGGGGAAGGAAGAGAGAGAGGTTGGGTATTTTGAGAGGCAGAAATTAGATGAAAGGGCATTTCAGGCATGGAGGAATAGCTTGTGCAAATGCAAAGATAAAATTTGGAGTTTAGGAAATAGCCAGAAGTCCATTTTGTCTGAAATACAGACCAGAAGAATAAGTTGAAATTAGGGTGGAAAGATAGATTGGAACCAGATTGTAGAGGTTTTCAAATGAAAGGCAGCTGAGTTTGCATTCAACCTGATTGTGAACAAGGCAGTGACGTGATCCTATTTGTGACTCAGCGTGATTAGTTTGGCAGTTATGTGAAATTATTGGGATTTGTTGTTTTTTTTCTTAAAAACTGAAGGAGAGGCTTGAAGCAGAGAAACTCAACTAGGAAGCTTAGGAAAAGTACTAAAGGCCCGAACTAGATTTGTAATTATGTGAATACAGAGAAGGGACAGATATGAGAACTGATGTAAAGGGAAGGTGAGTAAGACTTGGCAGCTGACCTAGAAAATAGATTGAGAAGAGAGAATTTCAAAGTCATTGGACCATCTGAAAACCATGATTAAAAAAAAAAAACAACCTAGACATCATACCTCAAGAAATCATAAAATAAAACTGCCCAGATCTCTTAACACCTTAAAACACAGATCTCATTAAAAAAAAAAGTGCAGAGTAGAAATAGAGAGTATCTACCAATCATCTCCTGAAAGAAACCCTTATATGAAAACTTCCAGGAATATTATAAACCAAATCCAGAGCTTCCAGGTCAAAGAAAAAAATACTACAATAAGAAAGAAAGAGAAAGAGAGATCAAATACTGAGGAGCCACAGTCAGGATAAAATATGATCTAGCAGCATCACTATGAAGAAGCAGAGAGCTTGGAATATGATATTCCAGAAAGCAAAGGATGTAGACTTACAACCAATAATAACTTACCCAGAAAAACTGAGTATGCTATGAACTAGTACTGAGTGAAGTGGGCCGAACCAGGAGAATAATTTATACAATAACAATAATGTTGTACAGACAAGCAACTTTGAAAGACAAGGATGCTGAACAATGCCATGGCCAACTAGCATTGCAGCAGATTCATGATGAAACATGCTAACCATCTTCTGGTAGGCTCATGGTAGAAATTGAGACATAATTTTTTGGACATGGCTAATGGGTTGTTTTGCTTAACTATATGTAAAATACTTGTGAGATACACACACACACACATATATCTCACAAATATTTTGTATTTCTTTCTCAAATGAAGAAGATTTTGAGTGTAGGAAGATTTTCATTGGCTGGAAAAAATAAGATTTGATTTTTAAAAGTTAGATATTAAGAAAAAAAACCCAAGGTCTTCCTGATACCAAGTCTAGAATGCTGCCTGCTATACTATGCTGTTATATATTATAATCATTTTTATCTATGTCTTATTTCTCTTACAAAAGTAGGAGAGAAGATTTCTATAAAGATAGAGTAGGAGTAAGTTTCCTGAGGGCAGTAACTATATGTCTTATTCATTTACATATCCCCTACAACCTCTTTCATAGCAGGCACTCAATAAATGTTTGTTCAGTTGAAATGAAATGTAATAATATGCTTTGGGACCCCATTTGGTCAACAGTTTTTATGACTGCGTTAACCCATCTTGTGGTGCACATTTGAAAAAAAGAGTTGTAATTTAGTATGTCCCATTCTTTCTTTTAGAAATACAAAAGCAAGCATTTCTTGCTTCTAGGGAATGTAGGGGACCATTGCCTTTAATAGAATCATGGATCTTATTTTATAATAACATATCTGAATTTTTAGATTCTTATTTTTCTTGGGAAATAAATGAAATCACCTCGAGGTGAGAAACAAAGCTGAGCACTGGATCAAGCCCTTGTGTGAGGCTGGACTTGGTCACTGGATGTAGGAATCATCAGTGGGATCTATAACCAGAAACTCCTAATAAAGGAGATGAGGAATATGATAAATCTCCTGCTTCTCTCCAGCCCTGGAGAGAATTCACACATTGAAATGCAGCTTCTTCCTCTGATTAGATGGCTCTTTATTTAAGGAGAGTGTCTAGATCAGTCACATCTCATTCCTCTCCAGGCTGCACACTGAACTTCCTCTACTCTGGCCCAGCACCAGGCGCCTTTTTCTCTTCACCTCCCTCTTTTCATTTTCTTTTTCTGTGTTGTCTTCACCAATTAGAATGTAAGCTCCTTGAGAGCAGGGACTGCCTTTTTTTTTTTTTTTTACTCTTATGCTTATGTTCCTAGCACTTAGGACAGCGCCTGGCATATAGTAAGTACTCGATCAATGCTTGTTCACTGACTGCTTGATAATTCATAGTATCTGGTTTAATCTCCCCTCTTCTACTCTCCTCTTCAACTTAGAAAAACCATTTGTTGAAAATCACTTTGAGGCAGCTAGATGGTTCAGTGGATAGAGCTCTGGCCTTGGAGTCAGGAAGACTTGAGTTCAAATCCTGCCTCAGACACTTGACACTTACTAGCTGTGTGATCCTGGGCAAGTCACTTAACCCCAATTGCCTCACGAGAAAGAAAGAAAGAAAGAAAGAAAGAAAAGAAAGAAAGAAAGAAAGAAAGAAAGAAAGAAAGAAAGAAAGAAA